GTTAATGTAAAAACAAATACCACCGCCTTTCGTCTTGCCGGAGAGTGCTCTGTCACGATCCGATCTTACAAGATGGAATCCTGCTAGTTGTAGCGAAGTGTCCGGAATCAAATCACACAGCCATGTCTCCGTGAAGCACAAAACAGAAGATGAAAGAAAGTCTTTGTTTTTTACCATCAGTAGCTGAAGTTCATCCATTTTGTTGTACAGTGAACGTACGTTGGAGAGGAAAAAGCTCGGAAGCACTGTTCGGATCCCGCGTCTGCGTAGCTCTCTCACCAACACGGGTGTGATGAACAGCAGGCCCCTCTCACCAGCACGGGTGTGTTGAACAGCAGGCCCCTCTCACCAGCACGGGTGGGCTGAACAGCAGGGCTCTCTCACCAGCACGGGTGTGCTGAACAGCAGGCCCCTCAACAGCAGGCTCCTCTCACCAGCACGGGTGTGCTGAACAGCAGGCCCCTCAACACGGGTGTGCTGAACAGCAGGCCTCTCTCACCAGCACGGGTGTGATGAACAGCAGGCCCCTCAACAGCAGGCCTCTCTCACCAGCACGGGTGTGATGAACAGCAGGCCTCTCTCACCAGCACGGGTGTGCTGAACAGCAGGCCCCTCAACAGCAGGCCCCTCTCACCAACACGGGTGTGCTGAACAGTAGGCCCCTCTCAAGACAAAATTGGACAAAACAGGGCGCACCAACCGGCCGAGGCTGCCATCACCGGCGCCATCACCACCTGTGCCTAGGTGGTGATGACTGTAACAACTACAGGGGCATCTCACTCCTCAGTGTGCCGGGAAAGGTCCTGGCAAGGATTATTCAGCATCGCCGTGCAAGGCACGCTGAGGAGAGGCTTGCGGAGCCCCAATGCGGTTTCAGGAAAGGGCGGTCCTGCACAGATGCCATATTTTCTGTCCGTCTGCTACAGCAGAGGTGTAGGGAATTCCAACAAGACCTACATCTCTGCTTTATTGACCTGGTCAAGGCCTATGATACCATCAGTAGGCCTGGACTCTGGGTTGTTCTTCATGCTTTTGGAGTCCCTGACCCTCTGCTCACGATCATTAAGGACCTTCATGATGGTAGCAGGCCCGGGTAAAACTACGTGGCCGGGAGTCAGAGCCATTCCCTGTACACCTTGGGGTGCGACAGGGATGTCCTCTGGCTCCCACATTACTTAACATCTCTTTTGACCACGTAGTTCGTGAAGCCTTCCATAGCTGTACCGGGGGAATCTCCGTTTGGTACAGATATAATGGGAGGCTGATCGATGCCCGGGTGCGGTCAAGGGATGGCTCCCTATTGCTCAACCACGTTATGTATGCTGATTATTTGGTAATAGCTGCTCATTCAGAGGAAGAGTTGGAGACGCTGCTGCTGAGACTGGAGCGTGCCACCTAAGAGATGGGGCCTTACCATCAGCCCCACCAAAACTAAGCACCTGCCTGGGTATTTTGTACCATCAGACACTCCACCTCCACAACTCCCAATCGGTGATGGGGCAGTTGTGGAGAGAGTGGAGAATTTTCCATACCTGGGCAGTGTGCTTATGACCGGCTCCAGTTTAACAGCAGAGGTCTCACTCCGAATCAGTCGAGCGGCAATATATTTTCATCGGTTGCGTAATGCTGTGTGGAAGCTACCTGGTCTGTCGCTCCGCACTAAGCTTCAGGTCTTCTCGGCCACGGTCATTCCCTCCCTTCTCTACGCTTGCGAAACGTGGACCCCCCTGATGGAACATCTTCGCCGGTTAGAAACATTTAGGCTAGCCTGCCTATGATCCATCCTGGGTTTAACCAGGCTGGATTGTGTGAGGAGCTCACAAATCTTTGAAAGATCTGGGCAAGGTCCCATCGGTGAGCTCCTCCGGCGAGCAAAGCTGCGTTGGCTGGGTCATGTAGCCCGCATGCCCAGCCACCGCATGCCGAAACAGCTTTTGTTCGGCCGGATTGAGGGGGCTAAACGGGTGCGGCACGGGCTAGAGAAGAGATGGAGTGATGTGGTACAGAAGGACGTGGAGCTGAGTGGACTTGCCGATGACTGGTACCAGCGGTGTCAAGATCGGCCTCTGTGGAGGAGGCTCGTGAAGGATGCTACTGGGCAGTTGGAGGCAGTCGCCCTCCAACAACAACGGAGGGCGGAGGAGCGACGCTCACAACGAGCGGAGCGCCGGGTGGCTAATGCACAGCAGGTTGGCACAGTAGGGGGCACAGGTGGTGCATCAGCTAGTCATCTCAGTCATCTTAGTCAGTCGACCCGTGGCACTTGCATCTGCCCCGTGACCTCCTGCCAGCGGGCGTTCGACACTTCACGTGGCCTCAAGGTGCACATGGCTTGGCACAAGCGTCGTGGTGACGTCACCGCCACTTAGTGGCGAATGGTGGTTGTTGTGTGTGAGGGTGCACATAGCCTGGCACAAGCGTCGTGGTGAAGTCACCGCCACTTAGTGTTGAATGGCGGCGGTTGTTGTTGTTGTGGTGTGGGGAGCCGGTAGTGTTGTGGTTAGCACATTACCGCGTTACGAACCCAGCGACCCGGTTCTGGGCCTCCCCTAGGTCAACTTGGCCTCAAATAAGTTTCTGGTGCGGTGTGTAAACATCGCCAGAGGGTCGGGCGTGGTGCTGGCCACCCACCCCCTCCCTCTACAGCACTTGTCCCTACAGTCTGTTAAGGCTACACGGGGGATCTTTGTCTTTGTGCGCTACCTGCACGGCATGCGTGACGAGGCCCCCGTTTTCATTTAGACTTTTCACGACTCGATTCAACGTCACAGTTATCGATGAAACGCCCTACACGCAACGGGTGAAGTCTCTGACGCTCTCTGGCAAGTGGATTGACTAACACGTGCTGGCTGGGTAAATTCCGCAGCAAATTTTAAAAAATGTAACCGCCACCGCTGTGGCCAAGATGACTCTGCATGGTGCTGTTTTCTTTGTTAAAAGGGGGGCCGCAAAATGAGTAGAGCACTCTCGAGTGGCCCGGGCTGGGTGCACAGGGCTTGCGTCTTAAGTGGATACTTTGTCCAGGTTACACAACGGGATTTTCATGCGCAATTTTCCTGGATGCTTTAGGACGTTTTGTGGCCCCATTCCCAGTCAATTGAACAGCTTACTCCAAGGTATGTGTACGGTCAAGCGTAAGAAAGCTTCAGAGCACAGCTTTCAGTCGCGGTGTCTTTGCAATGACCTCGGTTGCCCATTAAACAAACATAAGTCTGCATTCCGTCTCCACGTAACTCGGCGTCAGTTCATGTCTGATGTTAGTCGTGGTCGGGGGTGTCTCTCGGAGTGTCGAGGGGGCCAAAGTGTGCGCGTGATTTGGCCTCACGGGGGCCAAAGCGTGCATGTGATTTGGCCTCACGAGGGCCAGGCAAATGGAAGTAGGGTTCACTTTCGCCCGATATGCTGATGGTGGTCTAAAGGAGCCATTTTGTTGATCTGCCAGCGAAGAGGAGTTGCCCTTGACGCGCCCAGTTTGCAGCACCCACATTTCGGGTGGCGAAGCGTGCATGTATGTATGTATGTAGAAGTGCTAACAAGTCGCATCGCTCGGTGGGCCACAGCTCGGCAGGGCCTCTCCTAAGGGCCTTCGTGGGCCACATCTGGGCCGTGGGACGCGAGTTGTCATCTGCAAGGCGTAAGAAAATTGCCGGTCATTGGTCGAGTGGCAAACATCCGTTTTAGGTGAAAGAAAAGAGAGAGCAGAGGAGAGAGACCGTTAGAGACGGGAGAGAGCGCATTTACAGAGATTATAGAGCAGCGAGAGAGAGAGGGAACATACGGGGAGATGGAGAGAGACGCACAGGAGACAGGATTGGAGGCAGCAATTACAAAACCACCACCACCTCATCATGATCATCACCAGCGGTGCTTATCTGGACCAGTCCTTGGAGTCTCCTGTGTGGATGCAGTCTCAAATAAGGACCTGGTGCGGTGCGCAAACTCGAGCACTCTGGAGACTAGGGTGTCCGAGCGTGATTCAGACCACAATACCCCCCACGTGCGCCATGCCGGCCTTCACAAGTGCTCGCTAACAGTGCTTATTCTCCAATTAACAGTGCTTATACTCCAACTAACAGCTCTTATACTCCAAATAACAGTGCTTCAACTAACAGTGTTTACTCCAACTATAACAGTGCTGGTACTCCAACAGGCTGAAGAGACGACGTGGGGGATCCTTGTGTGCTGTGCGCGTTCCACTCGCGTTGCACCGTCGGGGACATTGTGACATGTCACCGCGTTGCGCCGTCGGCCGATGCTTATCTTCTCTGCTGCTCGGTGGCTGGGAATATATCCATGGCATGTCGCTCAGCTGTGCGCGTGCGTGCACAATAGCACAATACAACTCGCATGTCCAAAGTGTTCCCTTGCTCAGATGAGTGTTGGGCAACCTCTGCCAATGGTTTCTCCAATGGACTGATTTCACACCAAGGGCCAAAGCATTGCTGGACAGTGCTCGGGTTAACCGGTCGTTGCCTTGACCTGCGTGGCTGACCCCGGCTTCCACAAACCCTGCGCCTCTCCCACCTGTCCTCCTCTTTGCATCATGGGTCTCATTGCCACAGTCATCGCTGCTTTTGGTGATCATCGTCTACCCTTCCGTTCCTTATTGCCACCGTCGCAACCGGGGAGACAATTGGAAGCCTTTGCTCAACTTGGAGACGATTTGAGTGCCATGTGCGTTTTCTTGTTCAGCGTTGCCATGACATGTGAAGTGGGAGTGAGTTGCTTCTAAGGACGCGGTGACAGACCGCGTGTTGTGTGCTGTGTTGCGTGTCGCGTTAGTGTGTGGCATGTTGTGAGCCGTGTAGTGTGTTGTAAGCTCGCGGTGACGCACTGCGTGTTGTGTCCGTGTTGCGAGCTGTGTGTAGCGTGCAGCGAACCGTGTAGTGAGTATGATCGTGCTGCGTGTGTGCAGCGTGTTGTTTATGTGTAGCGCCTTGCTAGTGTGTAGTGAGGTTGCTCCGCGTGTTGATGGCGCCCCTCTCCCTGTGTCGCCCCAGGCCCCTGGGCGCCCGTGGCGTCGCGCCGTGCCGCCCCCGTGCTGCTCCGCTGGCGGTCGAGGGCGGCGCCCGCCGCCATCGCCGCCTTCTCCGAGGAGGCCAAGGCTCCGCCAAAGTCGGCGTGGTACGTCGTCGGACCTGCGGCGCGCGGTTCAGACGAGCGACTCGACGAGTAGTGTAGCGCCCTGACGGAGCCTTCTCGGGTCGTACCGCGGTTTTGTTGAGCGCGGCGTTCTCCGGGTCTCGCCGCGTACGCACGAGCGACGACGAGCCGGTGCGCACAAGCGAAGAAAGCCAATAACGTCGACCGGACTGCTCCCTGTCAAGCGCTCGATGGCAGAGGGCCGGCAACGCGGCATCGTCGAGGGAGAGCGTCGAGCCTCTCCATTCCATTCCTGAAGAAGCTCCCAGAGCATGGAGCGAAACGTCGGGCGTCGTGTCGACTGCAAAACGCAGCGCAGTGGCACCGTTTGGAATCTTGCCCCTCCCCTAAAACGTCTCAACACCTTCCAAAAACGCCTTTTACACTTCAACAGTCAGTCGGTGTAGGTGGCAGTACAGCAATTGGGTTTACAGACTGACAGGCTGTGTGAGCCGAGTTGTGAGAGTTTCGTCCTCGAAAATGTTTGGGTTTTCTCTCGACTTCTCCCGCGTGCGCAAATTAATTTTCCGCGCATTTTACGTTTTACCCGGACGAACCTTGAGACTCGGCGGGTGGGGGGGGGGGCGTTGCTTTGTTTTTTTCACGTTGAAAAATGTTTGTTTACGTAGAGCTGAACTTGGATGAGGCCGTTGAGTTATCCGAGCGTTCATCGGGTCTCCAACGTGACGCAGGAAGGACCCTGCTCAGTGCGTGGCCATTTCCTCTTTGGTATTTTTAGTTCTGGAAGCAAAGCGAGAGCGTTGAGGGGAAAAAATAACCCCCGTACACACGTAACACGGGTATAGAACTGAAACCCTGCATAGACTGGCTTCTGCAGCCTACTTGCTGTACTCCTGTAGACGTCTTCGTGATTTAAAGGTGGGTGATGTCTTGGGCAAAAGTGTCAACAACCAACACGACCTCAAAACGAGTTCAGATCCTGGTTTGGGGTTAACTCAGCCCATCATCCTTACAGGGTGGATAAAATTAGTACCACTTTGTGTAGGGAAGTCAACAGTAGTTGTCCTATGGATAGACTCAGCCCCGATATATGAATGTGTAATTTCCATCACTGGCTGAGAGCTGTAAACAGGAGATGAGCACCGCTTGAATGACTTTGGACATCATAATTGCGGCACACATCGTCCTGCTGGAAGAGACGGCAGTCGAGTGTGTGATGGGCTCTCGTCATACTTTAATAACCGCGACACACTGTGCCGAGATGTTAACTACCTCGCCTGATGTACAGGAGGTCGTGGGTTCGATCCCGACCCTGATGTGACACCTGCTGTATATTTGGAGTTTACACGTTCTCCCTGTGGTCACGTGGATTTTTTGCTTCATCTACTCCTTCCTCTCTCGGCTCTGCCACTCTCTTGCTGCCTTAGATCACAACTCGGTGTTTGGTAACGGACCGTTCACCCTTACCGGACGCGGACACCCTCTGTATGCTCCATAATATAAGTCGTTTATTTTGGGTTTGATCGCGTAAATATGAATGTGTCGGTACACCCGCCACCGCCCGACACAGCCAACTAGTAAGGTTTGTCACGTAAAGAAAACGTGCCAATGAGTTACTACTTCAGCACACCGGTGTGTTGGAGAGTAAACCCGCAACATTTATAATTCCAGTACGACGTTTCGCTGGTGATTACAACCAGCTTCATCGGATGATTAGGTAGAATTGTGAAGAAGTCTTCCCGTTTTGGTCTTAAATAGAGGAGCAAAGGTGATGTCATCACTGTCAGCCTATTAGATGGGAAGACCAGAGGGAGGTACATGTAGTCATATACATTGCAACGGATCATGTTAATCTGAAAATATGCAGTACCTATTATCCTGCTTACGTTTTGCTGCGTTGTACAAACGTGAAATGTTAATCAAAAGTTGTCTTTACCGACGCCCGTGTGCCCCCAGTAAGCCCCGCACGGGCATCCTCCTGCTCAACATGGGGGGACCCGAAACAACGGACGACGTTCACGACTTCCTCAAACGCCTCTTCCTGGACAAAGATCTCATCCCTCTGCCTGCCCAGAGGTGAGGAGACTCCCTGCGCCGGACGCCATGAGTGACGCCCCGTCCCGTGACGCGACGTGAAGACGTGTCGTCTCTTGGCCGTGGAACCGTTACCGTGGCACGGCGCCAACTGGCGTGCCCACCGCTCGATCGTGGCAACTGCTGCCAGTGATTAAGATCAGCTGCTTGGCTGGTTGAAGGGCCGGGCTGGCTCCCGTGCCACCAGTGTTGCCCAAGATCGCCAATGTTGTCGGAATAAAATGCTGCGGTGACATTTACGCATTTGCACATCGGCTGGGAAGAGGGCAGGGTTAACACACTCCCCCCGCCCCCGCGCCATCTGATAATGCTGTGGCTGCTGATGCTGCTGCAAGAGGTGATGATGTAACGGGTGGACATGCACACACAGATGCTACGCGTGGCCTGGTGGTATCGTTGGGCCAAGTACCAAACGAGGTAGAGCTGTGCTGTCCGATTATTTGAGAAATCTATTAGTCGACTGATCATCCGGTTACTGGACTGGTTGGATGACAAAAAGGCCACCAGGTGGGAAACCGGTGCAGAGCAGGGGAATCGCACAAACTCCGTGCAGAAAGGCGCCTGAGACACGAATTGAACCAAGGGCGTCACCGCTGCACCACGCTGCCGCTCCCAACGACAACAGGCGCGATAACGATGAACGAACGACAGGGTGACGTGCGTGCGCCCGTCTGTCCGCCTGTGTGCCCCTCTAGTAAACTGGCTCCGTGGATCGCCAAACGACGCACTCCCAAGATCCAGGAGCAGTACAGCCGCATCGGCGGCGGCTCCCCCATCAAGCTGTGGACGAGCCGCCAGGGCGAGGGCATGGTGCGGCTGCTCGACCACATGTGCCCTGGCTCGGGTGAGCACGCTCACGCACGCTCTCGCACACTCTCGCACGCTCACACACACACACTCGCACTCAACACTCATGCTCGCGCGCTGACACGCACACTCGCTCACGCTCACGCGCGCACGCGCACTCACACACGTTCGCATGCACACGCATGCACATGCTTGCACGCACACTCGCGCTCGCTCGCACGGTCATGCACGCACGCACGTACACACGTGCGTGCACACGCTCGCTTGTACGTACACACGCTCACATGCACGCTCGCTAACATCAGACATGGCCGACACACCCAGCCCTCAGCGCTCTCTGTCTCTCGCCACCGCTCGCTGGTTTGCTGCAGGTGCAGGCAGTCCAGCAGGGCCGAGTGGCGGGCGCTATGGTTCCAGGGGCTGCCTCGCTAAATCCTCAGACCAGTTTCACATTTTTCCAAACGTGCCATTTGGGCCACAACGCCCAGCACGCAATGGACTCTTACACAATGGACGTTTTTGTTTAACCAGCTCAAAATTGTGCACTGCCGTTCATATGAAGAGAACCAAGAAATGCCTCCCCAGATAGCTGGCAGTGAGTAATGCGACAAGGCACCGTGTCGGAGAAAATACCACAGGTAAGTAATTTTATAACAGAACTATGATGATGGTCGTAGTAAGTAGTAGGAAGAGAGTCAGTGCCACCTGTCAGCATCGTCATCATCAGCCGTGATCTAGCCTCGGCTGGATAAAGGCCTCCCCAAGGAGTTGCCGTCAATCACTAAGACTAAACTATATTTCATTTTAAAAGGCAAGGCCCCCACTGAGCTATGTACAGTGAGGGAAAAAAGTATTTGATCCCCTGCTGATTTTGTACGTTTGCCCACTGACAAAGAAATGATCAGTCTATAATTTTAATGGTAGGTTTATTTGAACAGTGAGAGACAGAATAACAACAAAAAAATCCAGGAAAAACGCATGTCAAAAATGTTATCAATTAATTTGCATTTTAATGAGGGAAATAAGTATTTGACTCCTGCAAAACATGACTTAGTACTTGGTGGCAAAACCCTTGTTGGCAATCACAGAGGTCAGACGTTTCTTGTAGTTGGCCACCAGGTTTGCACACATCTCAGGAGGGATTTTGTCCCACTCCTCTTTGCAGATCTTCTCCAAGTCATTAAGGTTTCAAGGCTGACGTTTGGCAACCCGAACCTTCAGCTCCCTCTACAGATTTTCTTTGGGATTAAGATCTGCAGACTGGCTAGGCCACTCCAGGACCTTAATGTGCTTCTTCTTGAGCCACTCCTTTGTTGCCTTGGGCGTGTGTTTTGGGTCATTGTCATGCTGGAATACCCATCCTCGACCCATTTTCTATGCCCTGGCTGAGGGAAGGAGGTTCTCACCCAAAATTTTACGGTACATGGCCCCGTCCATCGTTCCTTTGATGCGGTGAAGTTGTCCTGTCCCCTTAGCAGAAAAACACCCCCAAAGCATAATGTTTCCACCTCCATGTTTGACGGTGGGGATGGTGTTCTTGGGGTCATAGGCAGCATTCCTCCTCCTCCAAACACGGCGAGTTGAGTTGATGCCAAAGAACTTTATTTTTGCCTCATCTGACCACAACACTTTCACCCAGTTGTCCTCTGAATCATTCAGATATTCATTGGCAAACTTCAGACGGGCATGTATATGTGCTTTCTTTAGCAGGGGGACCTTGCGGGCGCTGCAGGATTTCAGTCCTTCACGGCGTAGTGTGTTACCAATTTTAGATTTGTTACCAATTGTTTTCTTGGTGACTATGGTCCCAGCTGCCTTGAGATCATTGACAAGATCCTCCCGTGTAGTTCTGAGCTGATTCCTCACCGTTCTCATGATCATTGCAACTCCACGAAGTGAGATCTTGCATGGAGCCCCAGGCCGAGGGAGATTGACAGTTATTTTGTGTTTCTTCCATTTCCGAATAATCGCACCAACTGTTGTCACCTTCTCACCAAGCTGCTTGGCAATGGTTTTGTAGCCCATTCCAGCCTTGTGTAGGTCTACAATCTTGTCCCTGACATCCTTGGAGAGCTCTTTGGTTTTGGCTATGGTGGAGAGTTTGGAATCTGATTGATTGATTGCTTCTGTAGATAGGTGTCTTTTATACAGGTAACAAGCTGAGATTAGGAGCACTCCCTTTAAGAGTGTGCTCCTAATCTCAGCTCGTTACCTGTATAAAAGACACCTGGGAGCCAGAAATCTTTCTGATTGAGAGGGGGTCAAATACTTATTTCCCTCATTAAAATGCAAATCAATTTATAACATTTTTGACATGCGTTTTTCTGGATTTTTTTGTTGTTATTCTGTTTCTCACTGTTCAAATAACCTACCATTAAAATTATAGACTGATCATTTCTTTGTCAGTGGGCAAACGTACAAAATCAGCAGGGGATCAAATTATTTTTTCCCTCACTGTAGCTGTTTTTTCAGAAGCTGTTTTTTCACAAATGATAGCTCAATGAAGTGGGCTTCTCGCATGGAAATTTATACTCTGAACGCGTGACGTTGATTCTAAATGTGGAGGCAAAAATCGGAGGACCCGGAAAAAAATTCCACGCAAGCTCAAAATATGCAGTCGTCGGGGTCGGGATCAAACCCACGACCTCCCGCATACCAGGGTGAGGTAGTTAACATTTCCTAGCCACCGTGGCGCCAGCAATCTCGTGACGCCACCGCCGTCCATCCCGCACCTGCGCGTGAGCCGAGCGTGTCCCTCGTCCCCGTGGTGCTTGTCCCCCCCCCCCCCCCCTCTGGGCGTGTCCTCCACCTAGGTGGCCATTCCTTTCCCAGTCTCGTCCAGTGGCCGTCGTCACCTCCAGCTAGGAGAGTGACTTGGTCACTGGCAATTCTGAACAGTAACCGTGGCGTCTCTTAAAGTTGCATTCGCTCTCTGATCCACGTGGTTTTTCTGTGTCCAACTTGCAAAACGCGCGGCCTCTCCACGCCTATGCGAGTCTGTTTTTAGCTTCTGTGCCATGTTCTGTGCCAAAGACCTTCATTTGGAACGAGGTGAAAGCCCATTGGCACTCGGAGGAGCGATTGGCACCCACCGTGACGAAGCGGTTTCTGTGGGGCATCATTACCAAAGTGGCGATGGGAGGGTGACATTAAAGACTCGGTGACATTGAGGTGGCCAGATGGCTCCATGGGGTTCACGATGGCCACGTGGGGAGTACTGAGCCAACACCACTGCGCTGCCAGGTTCATGTCGGGTCAGAAATAAGTGACTTAACCAGGTTAGCCGTGAATAGGATTACCCGCTGGGTCAGGTGGATTGATGAGCCAAATAACCGAATCATCAACGAATTCAAGGTGAGATGGCTGAGTGACTCTGGGCGCTGAAGCTGCGCCCGGACACACCGTCCCGCGGCTGTCAAGGTCCTGGGTTTGATTTAGGGAAGCCGCCTATGGCTTAACAAACCACGCAAAATGTGCGTCAGTAGCACTGCCCTAAAAGGAAAAAAAATATTATTCGTGACTTTTGTGGCACCTCCGCTTCGCATGCTTGGCTACGTATGGTGCGAAAGAAGTTCAACATACATACACACGTACATACGTGGCTAAAATCCCAAATTTGGAAAGGAAAAATCTGCTCTGGTTTTGTCCATCATTCGCCATTATTTATACACTGCTGAATGTCGGCTAAAGCACAGTCCGCGATAACGCGTGAGATGCGTACGCAGGCCGAACAAAGACTGAGGCGCGTGTGGGTACCATCTAGAAGCATCCAGGAGCATCCCGTCTCGTGCGATGTTACGCAGAAGCATTCGCACGACTCCTTATTCCTACTCTCGCGACGTAGCTCCGATCGTTCAATTGCGTGATATCCATTTCGCATCTGTGTTATGCAAAAATGTGTTGTATCCAATTCGCGTTATGAAAACGACCTGCAGCGTTATAGCAGGACTGACTGTAATTCAAACAAAAAAACAAGGCGATGGCTTTGATCTTCGAGGCACCCGTGTCAGCCGGCTGGCACCCGTAGCGCGATCGTGCAAAGCAGAGGGTGTTGAGCGGTGTCGACCGCGGGCGACACCGCCTGCCGTTTAATCACCGGGCTTGGCAGTTGGGGGAGCCTCGCTGTAGCCGTGAGGCAGCTGCACGTTGAGGCAGGGCGTGGGGCCCCATCGCGGAGGGGGTCGCGCCCCCCCCCCCTCCCCCGTCGAGGTTTCAAGGTGCAAGGTCTGACTGCAGGCCAAGAAAAGCGACCCGGCAGCCAAGTCGGTTTGATTTACCAAATTTTTACCGCGTTTATTTATGTGTTTCCCACCGTAGCATCCATTTCAGTTGCACCCGCGCCCCTTGCGGTAAAACGCGGCCATGCTGTCACCGCGCAGGAGCGAGTCGAAGGGATGGCGTTGAGGAATGGAGAAGTAAGGAGGATAACGGGGGGTTGGCCGACGATGCTGCCATTGGGAGCGAAGGAACCTAGGAGTGGGAATGGGGGCAGGGCGCGTCGTGAGGGCAGCTGGCGGGGGAGACGAGAGGGGAGATGAACTCTGGAGTGGAGGCCGAGGGAAGCGAAGAGAGAGGTGGGGAGGGAGGCGGTGGTGGCGGCAGTGGCAGTAAAACGACTTCTCGGGGTTCAGAGGGTGACGAGTTGAGATGTCGCGACCGTACGGGAGCTACTGAGGTAAGAATGAACGGAATTTCAACGGAAGAATCAGGAAGGGAGGACCTGGAACCAGGCGCCGCATCACGTCGAGTGTTGGAGAGAGTCGGCGAGCTTGGACAGGACACGCCGCTCGAAGGGACGAGGGACGGGTGGACGAGACGGGCGACGGAATGGCCGTCTAAATGAGCGAACGTGCCTGATGAAAGAAGACCGCCGAGTGCTGAGATGTGTCAAGGAGTGAGCATTGTAGGACAGTGGGGGTCGGAGTGGATAGGGGACGCCTATCATGCAGCAGTGGATAGGCACTGGCTAATGGTGATGATTTTTTGGTTTAATCTAGGTCACCCTTGTTGATGAGATATATTATATCGCAAAGGGCTCTCTTGGTTCACCGTGGGGGAAATTAGAGTGGAAATGGCAATTATCTGCAATCCTGTTATCTGTGAATTGGATTATCTCATGGTCAGAATTGATCAGGAAGATTCCCCCCCCCCCCATTCGTTATTGTGTAAAAACGGGTTGTGTTAAGCCAATATAATTAAACACACACTCAAGTGGAGGGGGCACGGTCGGCACCAAGGTGGCTGATGGCATTGCGGGCACATCCAGCCACCACAGCCGCCGCTGAGATGCTGTGCTAAACTTTGTAACAAATAAATGAATCGTAGATTACATCTCCTGTCAATCCACTGCTGGATGAACGCCTTCCCAAGTTGCCCATCGACGCGATTGTTTGACCACTCTTTGCCGTGCTGCTCGCTGTGGGTTGGTGAATAAAGCCTCCCAGGAGAAGATTCGGATATCTCTTTTGCCACTGATGTTAGCCGTGGCCAGTAAAAGAAACTCGGACGGGCCGGAATCGGAGCGCAGCGTGCCAACAACTTTCATCGCCGCTGCTCGATTGTCATTGACAAACGGTTGTAAAATAAAAAAATACAAATGTTAAGTGTGTCAAAGTTACTTCGTAAACGTTGGGGGGCAAAAAACGAAACGGTCGATAACGTTGCCTTGAAAATAAAAACGTCCCTTCGTGGAACCTAGAAACGGGCCATTGCCTGAAACGTTCACCTATAGAAACGTTTTTTGCCTTTTACAAGGCCACTCGCACGCACGGCGTCATCGACGGACGCCGCCGCCGCCGCCGCCGCCGCCGCGTCGAGTCATTGTCCGCCCTTGTGCACCGCTGCCAAAGCAGGGGCAGCGGTGGCGGCGATATCGCCCGACGCTTTGTTTCATCAATGTCGGTGTGCTCATCGAGACCTGTCACGGGGCAGCCGGTAAACGGCTACCTCCCTCATTGCCTTCTCTTCCACTGTGAAACCCTCGCCCCGAGGCGGAAGCGTTGCTCCGCAGAGGTGTTATCCAAGGCGTTTAGACGTCGGCGTGAACTTTGAAACGGAATCTCCGTTTATGTCAACGCTCGAAGATGCCCGTGTATCCTTCAGACTCTTGTATGCATGTTGAACTTCCTTCGCTCCGTACGTAGCCAACCATGGCTTATCGGAGGTGTGGGGGAAGGACAACAAACCAAACACTACAATCAGTTTTAGAGAAATGAGTTTTAAATCTCGATGATGATTTAAAAGTGCACAGCTCCAGGGGCCTCTTAATATCGGAAGGAAGAGCGCTCAAGACGGCTGCAGAAGCGCATCTGAAAGCGCGCGATGCAGTGACCGTCTTTGTTCGGTGACTACGCCAGAAGCCTCTTGGGGCAAGTGCCGTTAGCGAGCACCTATTAATACCGTGTGACGTCACACACGGCACTCCGTGTGTGACGTCACACACGGCACTCTGTGTGTGACGACACACATGGAGTGCCGTGGCCAGCGCCGCTTTCCAGCGTCATTTTTTTTTTATCCCCGGTTGCGGCTGATGTTTACACACCGCACCCTGTGCTGATTTAAGGACGGGTCGACCTAGGGGAGGCCCAGGACCGTTTCAGATATTTCACACCGATAGTTACCCGTGGCAAGGAATCGAACTCGGGTTGCTAAGTTCATAGGAGACACTCACACTCGTACACACAACACATACACACACACACTTGCTATCATTACACACGTTTATAACAACCTGCAACAGTGTGGACTGCAGAGATCACAACGAGTGTTCCTAAAGCATCTAAATGCAGCTGCATCTGAAGCAGCTGTACATTGCTGTCGATGGAGGTGACTGATGGTGTTGATGTTGACGGCGATGACGGTGATGGTGTTGATGTTGACGGTGATGATGATGATGCTGATGAAGTCGATGATGTTGATGGTGGTGGTGACAGTGGTGCTGCTGCTTTGCGTGTCTGACAAGTGCAGCGCCGCACAAGTTCTACATCGGCTTCCGCTACGTGCAGCCCCTCACGGAGGACACCATCGAGGAGATGGAGCGCGATGGCATCCAACGGGCCGTGGCCTTCACGCAGTACCCGCAGTTCAGCTGCTCCACCACAGGTGTCCACCACAGTACCCGCAGTTCAGCTGCTCCACCACAGGTGTCCACCACAGTACTCGCAGTTCAGCTGCTCCACCACAGGTGTCCACCACAGTACTCGCAGTTCAGCTGCTCCACCACAGGTGTCCACCACAGTACCCGCAGTTCAGCTGCTCCACCACAGGTGTCCACCACAGTACCCGCAGTTCAGCTGCTCCACCACAGGTGTCCACCACAGTACCCGCAGTTCAGCTGCTCCACCACAGGTGTCCACCACAGTACCCGCAGTTCAGCTGCTCCACCACAGGTGTCCACCACAGTACCCGCAGTTCAGCTGCTCCACCACAGGTGTCCACCACAGTACCCGCAGTTCAGCTGCTCCACCACAGGTGTCCACCACAGTACCCGCAGTTCAGCTGCTCCACCACAGGTGTCCACCACAGTACCCGCAGTTCAGCTGCTCCACCACAGGTGTCCACCACAGTACCCGCAGTTCAGCTGCTCCACCACAGGTGTCCACCACAGTACCCGCAGTTCAGCTGCTCCACCACAGGTGTCCACCACAGTACCCGCAGTTCAGCTGCTCCACCACAGGTGTCCACCACAGTACCCGCAGTTCAGCTGCTCCACCACAGGTGTCCACCACAGTACCCGCAGTTCAGTTGCTCCACCACAGGTGTCCACCACAGTACCCGCAGTTCAGTTGCTCCACCACAGGTGTCCACCACAGTACCCGCAGGTCAGCTGCTCCACCAAAGGTGTCCACCACAGTACCCGCAGTTCAGCTGCTCCACCACAGGTGTCCACCACAGTACTCGCAGTTCAGCTGCTCCACCACAGGTGTCCACCACAGTACCCGCAGTTCAGCTGCTCCACCACAGGTGTCCACCACAGTACCCGCAGTTCAGCTGCTCCACCACAGGTGTCCACCACAGTACTCGCAGTTCAGCTGCTCCACCACAGGTGTCCACCACAGTACCCGCAGTTCAGCTGCTCCACCACAGGTGTCCACCACAGTACCCGCAGTTCAGCTGCTCCACCACAGGTGTCCACCACAGTACCCGCAGTTCAGCTGCTCCACCACAGGTGTCCACCACAGTACCCGCAGTTCAGCTGCTCCACCACAGGTGTCCACCACAGTACCCGCAGTTCAGCTGCTCCACCACAGGTGTCCACCACAGTACCCGCAGTTCAGCTGCTCCACCACAGGTGTCCACCACAGTACCCGCAGTTCAGCTGCTCCACCACAGGTGTCCACCACAGTACCCGCAGTTCAGCTGCTCCACCACAGGTGTCCACCACAGTACCCGCAGTTCAGCTGCTCCACCACAGGTGTCCACCACAGTACCCGCAGTTCAGCTGCTCCACCACAGGTGTCCACCACAGTACCCGCAGTTCAGCTGCTCCACCACAGGTGTCCACCACAGTACCCGCAGTTCAGCTGCTCCACCACAGGTGTCCACCACAGTACCCGCAGTTCAGCTGCTCCACCACAGGTGTCCACCACAGTACCCGCAGTTCAGCTGCTCCACCACAGGTGTCCACCACAGTACCCGCAGTTCAGCTGCTCCACCACAGGTGTCCACCACAGTACCCGCAGTTCAGCTGCTCCACCACAGGTGTCCACCACAGTACCCGCAGTTCAGCTGCTCCACCACAGGTGTCCACCACAGTACCCGCAGTTCAGCTGCTCCACCACAGGTGTCCACCACAGTACCCGCAGTTCAGCTGCTCCACCACAGGTGTCCACCACAGTACCCGCAGTTCAGCTGCTCCACCACAGGTGTCCACCACAGTACCCGCAGTTCAGTTGCTCCACCACAGGTGTCCACCACAGTACCCGCAGTTCAGTTGCTCCACCACAGGTGTCCACCACAGTACCCGCAGTTCAGCTGCTCCACCACAGGTGTCCACCACAGTACCCGCAGTTCAGCTGCTCCACCACAGGTGTCCACCACAGTACTCGCAGTTCAGCTGCTCCACCACAGGTGTCCACCACAGTACCCGCAGTTCAGCTGCTCCACCACAGGTGTCCACCACAGTACCCGCAGTTCAGCTGCTCCACCACAGGTGTCCACCACAGTACTCGCAGTTCAGCTGCTCCACCACAGGTGTCCACCACAGTACCCGCAGTTCAGCTGCTCCACCACAGGTGTCCACTACAGTACCCGCAGTTCAGCTGCTCCACCACAGGTGTCCACCACAGTACCCGCAGTTCAGCTGCTCCACCACAGGTGTCCACCACAGTACCCGCAGTTCAGCTGCTCCACCACAGGTGTCCACCACAGTACCCGCAGTTCAGCTGCTCCACCACAGGTGTCCACCACAGTACCCGCAGTACAGCTGCTCCACCACAGGTGTCCACCACAGTACCCGCAGTTCAGATGCTCCACCACAGGTGTCCACCACAGTACCCGCAGTTCAGTTGCTCCACCACAGGTGTCCACCACAGTACCCGCAGTACAGCCGCTCCACCACAGGTGTCCACCACAGTACCCGCAGTACAGCCGCTCCACCACAGGTGTCCACCACAGGACCCGCAGTTCAGCCGCTCCACCACAGGTGTCCACCACAGTACCCGCAGTTCAGCTGCTCCACCGCAGGTGTCCACCACAGTACCCGCAGTACAGCCGCTCCACCACAGGTGTCCACCACAGTACCCGCAGTACAGCGGCTCCACCACAGGTGTCCACCACAGTACAGCTGTGGTGGACACCTGTGGTGGACACCTGGTCCTCCCCGTGCGTACCGCTCGTGACGCGTGTGCGTGTGCGCCCCGCTGTGTCTGTTGCTTGTCGCCGTGCAGGGAGCAGCCTGAACGCCATCTACCGGCACTACGAGCAGCGTGGCACGCCGCCCCGCATGGCGTGGAGCGTCATCGACCGCTGGCCCACGCATCCCGGCCTCGTTAAGGTGAGCCTCGCTCGATCGCTCGTTTGCCCGATCGTTCAATCGTACGATCGCTCTCTCCCCGGTGCCGGTTCGGCTCGGCAGAATCGCGCTCCCTTGGTGTGTGGCCATCGGCGCGGTGAGAGCGGTCGGCTCGCAGTTAACGACGATCGCCTTGGCGACCTCTGCACGCCAGACGCCACTTTGTGGGCAGTTGGCCTGGTGGAGGGGGAGGCTTTTTTTAAAATCGTACAGGTGGTGCTCATGTCTTGTTTAAAGTCCTGAGCAAGCGGTGGAAATTCCTCACTCCTACGATGGGGGAGAGTTTATCCCCCAAAGCGGTACTAGTTTTATCGACCCCAAAGGAATGATGGGCTGAATCAACCTCCATCCAACTATTTTAACCTTTCCGATTGCGAGTCGCTCGCTCACTCGCTCGCTCTACCGCTCGGCCACCTGGCCTGATGTGGGTCAGGCCGGGTGGTGCAATGCTTTTGGCGGGGAGGGGGCACACGCATGACTGACGCTAAACTTTGGGCTGCGTTACGCTGGGGCCGTGCCCATCGCCTGCCTGCCTCACATTACAAGCGCGGTGGTGCCAGCTCGGATAGATATATGACCCTCCTGCGCCCGGGTTGTGTAGCTAAAATGCAAGCGGAGATGGATAAATATCGTGCGTAGGATGTTTTTTATGGAAGTCAGTGGTGGGGGTTGCATGCGGGCGCGGGTTCACGTGTGAAACGAAGCCATGGGCCGTACGATTCGCACCCCTGTGTGGTATCGATAGACTGGCACTTGCCAGAGGATTGTGGAATTTACACCCTTGACTCGGGCATGCCAGCAAGGAAAGGAGAGTGCTGTCCTGTTGCATGTCACAATCAGAATATTTGTTTTTACTGGAGGAATCCGATGAGCTATAAAGCTCTTTTTCACGGATGTCCAGTAGTCTGTTGATGTATGGCCCCACTTCATGTGGCCAGGTGGCTCACAGACAGGAGGGTTGCCAGTTCAAATCCTGTTTGGGGATTGACTCGGCCCATCATACCTCTGGGGTCGATAAAACTGGTTCATTCAGCACCGCTTACGTTTTGATCTTGCTCTCTCCGTCAAAGTGCGAGGTTGAACACGATGTCGCTTTGCTGACCGATACAAACACCAGATCAAAGAGAAGCACGGGGAGAGAGCGAGATAGCGAGAGAGAAAATACGTCACCGCTGTTGCCTAGCAACGGAGCACCTCGGTGCGTGTTTCGTCTCCGTGGTCCGCATCTTTTCCGGCAGAGCGAGACGAGCCGGAGTCGTCCCTTTCATTTGAGAGCGACACCGTGTTGTCGATCGAACCGCGTTGTCGATCGAACCGCTGTCAGCGTCGACTCAATATGCTTCTCACCTTCACAAGAGTCTGCACCCTCCCCACCCCCCACGCGCCCCACCCCCCACGCCCCATGCCCTAAAGAGTGTTTCGCCAGCGAGCGTGGTCGCGGAGCGTGAGAAGGGCTACGATCGGTGAGGTGCGTTGACACGCTGGCGGGGGTGTCTCCCCCTCCCCCCCCCCCCCCCCCACAGTGCTTCTCCGACCACATCAAGAAGGAGCTGCAGGAGTTCCCCGCGGACGTCCGGGGAGACGTGGTCATCCTCTTCTCGGCACACTCGCTGCCCATGTCTGTACGTGCGGCGACATTCACACGCGCGGGCACGCGTGGCGCTCGCACGCGTGCACAGAGGCACACGAGCGCCGACACAGAGGTCCCGCGTGGCCCACGAACGGGCAGCTGTGGCAAGTACGGCGAGCGAGTGCCTACGGAGCGCCAGGGGCTGATGTGGCCGAGGACCGCGCCCGACCACATTTGTCTCTCCCGTGCTGATGTTTACACACCGCACGAACCACTCGTTCTCAAGGCTGAGTCTCAAGTTGAAGGGCGTTGCCAGGACGAGTTCAGAGATCAGTCGATAACCGATGGTGGTCGTGGCCGGGAATCGAACCCTGGTGGTTAGGTTTGTAGCGCAGCACACGAACCAGTGTGCTATGCATGAGGTCTTTGGGTTCGATCCCCACCCGAACGATACTTTTATATATTTGGAGTTTGTTCTCCCCGTGGTCGCGTGGATTTTTCTCCAGGTCCTCCGGTTTTTTCCCTCCACATGTAGAATCGCTGTCCTTTTCAAGTATTTGGCTGCTATAAATTTCCATATGCTGATAAACCATTTTGCTGAGCTATCATTTGTGAGAGCCAGCTCGTTTCTGACAAAAGAGCTATTGCAGCTCAGTGGGCCCGGTATCCGATCACGTGACTGTCATCCTCTCGCCCACCCGCCACCCCGTCCGGACCGCAGGTAGTGAACCGCGGAGACCCGTACCCGCAGGAGGTGGCGGCGACGGTGCAGCGCGTCATGGAGCAGCTCAACTTCAGCCACCCGTATCGCCTGGTGTGGCAGTCGAAGGTGAGCGGCGGGGCGCTTGGCAACGCGAGACGGCGCTACGGCGGGACACAGATATACTGTGAGAGGCTGTGTGGACGCAGAGATACGCTGCGGGAAGCCGTGCTGCGTCGTGCCGCGTCGTGCCGCGTCGTGCCGCGTCGTGCCGCGCCGCGCATAGTAGCTTCGCAACCTGAGTTGCGTCGTCAGGAAGCACCCACGGCTTCCTCTCTCATGCACGGTATCATCTCCCATCCCGGAAGAAGTTTACATTTGTATTGGTATTTTCATCATAGCTATTTTGCTCACGGGCGTGAAGGGACGATGGGGCCAATTCGACCCTCAACCGTGAATTGAACTCCGGAACCGTCTCACTGCGAGGTCCGTCTGCTCTGCCACAGAGGAGGCAACCTTGGTCAATGTCGCCAAAACTTCCAGTGGCCTGTTATAAAAATCCGATGATGCAATGCTCAGGCTGTAGTGGCTGTGTATGTCGTGCCGTAGGTTTGGTCCTTTATACTGCGCGACGCTGAGAGCACAATGTCCCCGTTGCTGTTGCCGCTGCTGCAGCAGCAAGTTCAGGCTGTCCGTTGACGCGGCCTGTCAAGTTGTGGGTATCGGCGTGTCTGGCTTGGGCATGGGGTTTCGCCCCAGGTTGTTGTGAAACGCGTTATCTTTCGTCGTTATCAGTCGTGCCCGTTCCGTTGCGTTCAACTGACCCAGATGCCGTGAGAGATTTCCGCCGTCCAGTGTCCTGCCGTCGTTCCGACACCGATGGGTGTGGCGATGGCTCTCGGCCGGCTCCGAGTCTCGGTGCTTCCCCACTGCTCCTATACCGCCAACTGGGGCGGCGCACCGGCACCGCCGTTAGCGTCGCATTGCGCTAAAGAATTCGTCAAACCGAGCTCGATTCCCGGTAGCGGGTAACCACCGGTGTGAGCGAGTTAGGTCCGAGCCACTTCCTTTCAGCAAGCCGTGGCGTGGTGAAGTATGGGTCACGCAACCCCCCTGAGGGAAGGGTGGACTCCACCTTTACTCCGGCAATGGATCGACAAAGCACTGTAATTTTTTATTTTTCATTAAAGCCATTAGTGTGAGCAATATTATTTCCTCGGAGGCCACAATGCGCACTAATTGGCACGCGAATAGCGATAGTGTATCCTTAACAGACTTTTGGGGCGAGTGCTGTTAGCGAGCGTCTACGAAGGTCTGCGCACGGCACGCAAAAGGTGGGCGGGTGGCCAGCACCACGCCTGGCCGCCTCTGTCTCCCGAATGCCGACGGTTACCACACACCGCCCCAGGTGCTCGCGTCAGGCCGAGTCGACCTAGGAGAGGCCCAGCACCGCCCGCTTCAAATATTCGCCCACCGTCATTGGTCGTGAGCGGAAATGGAACTTGGGTCGCCGGGCTCGCAGCGGCGGTGCGTACGACCGCTGCGCCGCCGCCAGCCATTGAGACACGGAGACAAAGCTCCACCCGTAGAGCCGTCCCAGGCTGGTGGCGCAAAAAACGTTGCCGGCGAGCGCCTTTGACGGTCGGCGAGGAGACGCCGGCGGAGGGACGCTTGCAAAATCAAAACGTTGGCGCGGAAAATTTTCCAACGCCTTGTTCTAACGAGCGCGGGGGGTGGAGGAGAGAAAAGTCCCGGCCGCTCTTGACATCGGCCGCTCCACCCACGCCTCCCCCCCCTCCCCGCCGCCATCGCTGTCCACAGGTGAGAGCGCTAGCGGGGAGAGCGGTGGGCGTCACGTCACAGCGGCATCCGTGTTGTGACATCGGCCGTTTGCCGCGCTCCGCCTAATTGGGATGCGAGACACCGAAAAGGTCCCCTTGGCAACTCAGGGGACCACGCGCGCATCCCTCCTGTCGGGTCTCGTTAGGTTCCCACACACAGCCCCTGGGTTTACAACAAAAACAACAGAAAACACCCCCCACCCTGCCCGCCCCCCCCCCTCCCAAAAAAATACAACCCCAAAAGACCAAAATACCAAATAAAAATCAATCGCCGTTTTCGCCCTCACGCCGAGACAGCAGCGCTGCTAATTGGGCGGCGGAGTTCTGTCGATGCTAAAGCGGAGCCCAGGCTTCACCACCCGGCTGAAGTTTGTCTCTCCCTCCCCCCTCCCTCCCCCCCCTCCCCTCGTGGGTGACGCCGGGGGTCGTCGTCGTGGGTGACGCCGGGGGTCGTCGTCGTGGGTGACGCCGGGGGTCGTCGTCGTGGGTGACGCCGGGGGTCGTCGTCGTGGGTGACGCCGGGGGTCGTCGTTGTGGGTGACGCCGGGGGTCGTCGTCGTGGGTGACGCCGGGGGTCGTCGTCTCGCCTCGCAGGTGGGGCCCATGCCGTGGCTCGGCCCGCAGACGGACGCCACCATCAAGGGGCTCGCGGAGCGTGGCAAGCGGCACATGTTGCTGGTGCCCATCGCGTTCACCACGGACCACATCGAGACGCTGCACGAGCTGGACATCGAGTACGCGCAGGTGCTCGCCGGAGAGGTGGGTGGGGGGGGGGCATCGCCACACCGCCGCCTCTCGCGCGTCTCGTCGGCCGCGGCCCGGGAACGGACCTCGGGTCGCGGGGCTCCTTAGCGCGGCGTGTCGGCCGTCGTGCAACAACAACAACGACCGCAGCGACAACAACAAGCGCCATCCGCCACCAATTGGCGGTGACACGTTGCTATAGAGGTAGGGAGCTGTTGCTTTAACCCTGCGCCCTCGTGCTCCTCGCTCGTGTTGTCGTGCAGTGCGGAGTGGAGAACATAAGGAGAGCGGAGTCGCTCAATGCCAACCCCGTCTTCATCGAGGTACTCGCCCCGCTCACCGCACAGTTGCTCCTTCCTGCCCTCGGCCTGTCGTGCTAGGCCTGCCGTTGGGGCGGTGGTCTTCATTGCAAGGCCCACGGGCCACTGGCGGCTCCTGGTGGCTCCTGGTGGCCTTTAGCGCGGCCCCTGACGTGCGGCCCTGCAACAATACACAAATGGTGACAGTACCCCTTCATCATCGTGCTGTCAAATCCCAATGGTTTCAGATGTGTGGCGGCCCTCGCGCTGATGATGTCTTATCGGCGATATCGGCCGCCTCCCTCTCTGAAAATGAGTGCGTTGGGGAGACTCTCGCGAGGTGAACATTCACACGCCACTAGGCGCCTTGTGGCCGCGTCTTAACCCTCGGCTGACCTTGATAACCTCTTGAACTTGGCTTTGTGCACCCGGGGCATTGGACTGGGTCAAGTCCAGAGTCAAAACGGGGGTCTCCATGTCAAAACTGTAGTATAAATAACACTGACGGAATAAAAATTGACAGTGTTTTTATTTTGTAATCTGATGTCATGTTTGTATTTGGTCGTTGTCAACACGCCTCCAGATGCAAACCTTCAGAGGCACCGGGAGAAAAATTAAACTATTCGAGTTTTTTTGTCGGCCACATTCGGTTGGGATCAAAGAAGCACGGTCTTCTTATGTTTAATTTGTACGAGTCGCATCGCAACAGGGCGCCCTACTGACAGACGAATGGCCCGCCCACCTGCTGGCCCGTGCTATGGTCCCCTTGTGGCCACGTAGGGACAGCTGCCACCGGGCGTCTCCTTGGCCAGGTCGCCACGAGGTTCAGTGCGTGGGTGGCGGGGTATCGATCTTCTTCTTTTGCGTACGGCAGATATAGATGCAGAGCAACAACTTACAATTTCACATTCAGGTGGTCGAGCCCAGATGACCGCGCCGGTAGCTGCGGAGTGTATCATCATCGCAGGTGATGTCTCCTTCGTATTACATCGTTATACGTCGTACGGTCTGTTCTGGATGACCACGGCTCGCAGAGGTGAGCCCCACTCTCTCTGAGCGCCGCGCTCTCTGCACCGACCCCCCTTGTCTCGCAGGCCATGGCCGACCTCGTCAAGGTACACCTGGAGTCGGGGAGCACGTGCTCACGGCAGCTGGGCCTGCGCTGCCCGCTCTGCGTGAACCCCACGTGCGGCAAAGCCAAGGAATTTTTCGCCAACCAGAAGCTGTGACCCAGCCTCAGCCTGCTGGGGTGGGGTGGTGAGGGGACATGGCTAAGTGGGGGGGGGGGGGGCGTGGCCTAGGGGGGGGGCACCATCAGCACTGACCCGTGACCTAAATGCTGAGTGGGGTCAGAGGACAGGGTGGCAAGAGGGGGGAGAGTGGTATGGTCTCAGAAGATTACGATGACACGTGACATGGGTTTGCAGTCGGAAGCATATTTTTGTGCTGCGTAGCATCGTTTTCTTCACATTTCCAATCTTCTGGAAGTAGTGGCCAGTTTTCATGTGACCTATGGTCCGAGTGCACTGTAAGTGGAAATTGTCGGAGGAAATTTGATCTGTGAAAATTTGGCGGAAACTTTTTTGTATGTGTGCCTTTTCCAGACAGTGGAATTGTGATGGCTGCCTATTGAAATATTGTTTGTTTTTGGAGTATACCTCCATTGAAGTCAGCTCCATATATAACCCCACGTTTTCATTGTGGCCGGAAGTTCCCCGTTAGGTGTGTGGGTGCATCTGCTCTTTGCAACCTGACGTGGGGCCCATGAGTAAACTTTTCTCTATGCAATACGAGCTTATACAACTCATTCTCTCAAGTGCGCTTCTAGACACACGCGTTGAGCTGAGCGCTCCCTGTACGTATGTACGTTCAACTTCTTTCGCGCCATACGAAGCACGTGTGATTGTTAACAACGCGTGGGACCTTGAGCCCCCCTCCCTTGCCCTTGTTGAGCTGGGGATCGTGCACAGCTCTGGGCTCGCACCCCGTACACGTTGAGTCGCCGCTGTCGAGGACACTTGACCCCCTTTCTCGTTCCGAGACGTCTGCAAGTTGCAGGGTGTGGTGGTCCCAATCACCGCTTAATCTCGGAACGCGCGAGCGATTAGTTTTATTCAGAGAGGCATAGCGCCGTTGTTTTTAACGACATCGTACTCACCGCGGAGAACTGTCGCGACACGACCGCACTCCACGACAGCTGGCGCCACATGCCCTCCCGCATGTCCTTGTACTTCGGATTCCATTCTCATGACGTACGGAATTGGAACGGAATTGGGACACGCACGTCATCGGAATGGGAAAGGGTCAAGATCAGATTTGTTTATTGAATCGTGGTAAATTGCATCGTCGCTGTGGTCGTGCTCGCGACAGGGAGCGCCAGATCAACCTCGCACACGAGGTTCATTTAAATCTGGACTTGCAGGTCGAGTGTAAGTTGACCTTGCGCGCCCCTGTGAAATGGTGCGTGATGTTTAACCGAGCGCCACTGAGGAGTCTCGGTGTGTGACACCGGGAGCAACGCCGGAGGGCAACTGCGAGCCGGGGGGAGACGGGCAAACAGCCGCCCATCGGCACAGGCGCGGCCAGAGCGGCCGACTGCAGCCTCATCGGGCGATTGTGGTCCTATTGCAGCAGCAGCAGCAGCAGAGATTGGTGACACTCAGACATCGGCTGTGCAGAGAGAAAGGCATGTTCGCATTGAGAGGGGAGGAGATCTGGCATGCCTGGCAGGTCACGTGCTCTACCTCCAACGTCACCAAATAAACTTGGTGAACCGAAGCACATTGGAGCCTTGGAAATTCCAACTTAATACAAACTCGGGGTGTGTTGCGCGCATTACGTTAGGCGAGTTTTTCCATTGTATTGTTGAATTGCTGTCGCAAGATGTATCGAGTGCTGAACGTTGTCCTGAGACACTGGTTGATACTTTGACATTGTTATTAAAATACGTAGATTAGACGTGTCCCGAGTGCTGGAGTGCTTTCCTGTGTGTTACGAATTCTCGATTCCCTGTCTGTATCCTGCTGGCGAAGTCTTACGATTGATAAGAGTAGCAAATCCCCGAGACAAGGAGACTGCGAGAATCGTGGATGATAACGTTTAATCACAAGACGTATCGATACAACCGGAGCCGTCGCTAGGGTGCACGGCGAATGGGGGCGACTGCCCCGGGCACCGCGCTTTGGATGGGGGGGGGGGGCCGCGCTTCGACGTCACGGCGTCAGATGTAACGCTTTCGGTTTTTGTTTGAAGGCGTCAACTCCCCGAGGAGCCCGTGCATGTGCTGTGACCGGTGAGAGAGAGGGCGCGCGAGTTGTGTCCACAGTCATCGGACGATTGAGGATCACGGAGCGGAAACGAGGAGACAAGTCCCGCCATGAAATTTTGTTGACATTAATTTTATTAATGAGCAGCCCTCCCCCCCCCCCGGCGTTCTCAGAGAGATCGAAACACGGTGGGCACGAGTCACGTGCCTGAGAGATACGATGTCATTCATGTCAATAATGAGTTTTTTTTTTCCATGAATCATTTTTTTTATATTTTATGATCAGTTACCTGCCCTGACATTTAAACCTGCCCTGGCATCTCACACACACCTACCCTGGCCTCACTTCAATCCTCACCTGCCCTGGGCTCACACCTCCACCTGCCCTGGGCTCACACTGGCATCGGGGAGGCACTCAAGGAATGGAACGCGACCGAGATTCTTCATCCGAGGCGACGGAGCGATGACATCAACTCGTGTGCAGGTGCTAGGCGGGTTATCACCTCGCAGGGATAGCGAGAGACGGCGGTGGCTTGAGGAGGCCTTAATCCAGCAGTGGATTGGCCATTGGCCGACGATGTCGCTCGAGCGTCGGTAAGCGCTCATTGTCTCCGTTAAAAAGTGCTGGAAATTCCACGTTCCTCGTGGTTGGGGCCAGTATGTCCAAAGGACAATGTGGGGTGGTGTGCCCCATGGTGTCTCCTCCGTCGTAGTGGGGGGCGGGGGGCGAAGGTGCGCGGAAACACCTCGCTCTGGCCAGACGCCAGCTCAGTAAAGTGCTCACGACGCCGCATGTCCCACTGTGCGTGGAAGGTCAGACACGTGGACGTTGTTGTACGCGTGACCACGGCCACACCCGCCATCAACACGCACGTGCTGCGGGAGGGTGCGTGCTGGCAATTGGCGAAGGGCGGATATGCCAAGATGCCCTGTAATTATTTTATTTAACAAAAAGAGGGCAAGACACGGGAATGTTTGTGCGGTGATTGCGCGGCAAATAAAGCAGAGAAATCAAGAAAAGCCACCGCGAAATTAAAGTGCGATGGTTTTGACTTTTATTAAACTACTACGGCAGCTATGGCTACAGAAAAATAATATGAAAGCCATTTAATGAACACTGATAAAAGCCGTGACAACCTTCTGCAGCTCACCCCCCGAACACAACAGGGAATATAGCACATCAGCATTGCCTGGGACAGGGTGGGGGGTGTGGATGGTGTGGATGGGGGGTGGGGTAAGAGTGGCGAGATGTGGCCCCACCCGGCCTGCCAGCTCCATCCCCCACCCAGCTCCACCGACCCCCCCTCCAGCTCCACCGCCCCCCCCCAGCTCCAGCGCCACCGACCCCCCCTCCCTCCAGCTCCACCGCCCCCCCCTCCAGCTCCACCGACCCCCCTCCCTCCAGCTCCACCGCCCCCCCCCTCCCTCCAGCTCCACCGCCCCCCCCTCCCTCCAGCTCCACCGCCCCCCCCTCCCTCCAGCTCCACCGCCCCCCCCCTCCAGCTCCACCGACCCCCCCTCCCTCCAGCTCCACCGACCCCCCCTCCCTCCAGCTCCACTGACACAGCTCCACTGCACGGCACGTGCCAATGGATGTAACCACTCCCATATGCGTGTGTGTGTGTATGCTGAACCGTGCGTAACCAACCCTGCCAACCGTCTTGTTATCCTTCAGATAATTTTATGCACCGGAGAGTAAGACCCTAACACCTCGACTCTGTGCCCGGTGTAAATCAAAGCCTCACGAAAGGCGTTGTGCGAGGAGGCACAACGCCTTCCAGACTATAAGACGCACACCCTTCACCCCCCACCACCACTCGCCGAACACCGAGTGGGGGGGGGGGTGTTCGGGGTAGTGCGTCCATCCTAGCGCGGTAGCTGCGGGCGCTGCGTGTGAGCCGCGTGCCACCAATTCGCGCTGCCATCGTCGGCGAGAGGCGGCAGTCGTCTGTGGGGCTTTGCGCGCGGTGCTCTGCGGGAAGAGAGAGCCGTGCCCCCCCCCACCCCCTGCGGCCTTTGTGCATTATCCAAAACAAACCATCAGCAGCAGCTCGTGACGAATACGTGCACAACGCACACATTCTGTGCGCTTTCACCACGTGTCTCTTGCGTGGTTGCTGTGTGGTGGAGCTCGTGGTGGACCCCAGGACCCTCTTGCTCTATCGCGCTGCGGTGCGATGCTCTCAAAGCTCGCCGACCTCACGGAGTTGGCAAGGCAGGGCGGGTGACCGGGCACTGATCGGACGTGAGCGTCGCGTGCATCGCGCGGTCGCTCACCGCTTAAACTGTAAACGATGCCTTTTTATGCGTATGTTACCAGATAAGGTTCACTGGGCGGTGTGTATAGCTCTTTTTTTGCAGAAGCGTTCTTGCGATCACAAATGACAGCTCAACGAAGTTAGCGGCGCATCGTCGTCACCACGTGGGGATTTATCTCAGCCGAATCCTCTCAAACGCGTGGTGTCGATTCTGAACGTGGAGGGGGGAAAACAAAAGAACCGGAGGTGCCGGAGAGAGAATCCACGCGACCACGGGGAAAGAGACACGCGGACTCCAAATATGCAGCAGCAGGCATCGTCAGGGTCGGGATCGAACCCACGACCTCCTGCACACCAGGCGAGGTAGTTAACATCTCCTTGCCAGCGTGGCGTCACTGCCCCGTGAGCGGTGGCGATTTTGTCTCCGATAATGCTGCCGATTGCGTCTCGAGCAGTGGCGGTAATTGTGGCCGCGTGCGACACACCGAGGGACCGTGCTGGTGGAGGTCTCGACGACACGCCGCCACCCCCACCCCACCCACCTCTCTCTCTCTCCGCTAACGGTGTCCGCTGTTCAGCCAATGCCAGGACACGTGGAACATCGGGGCCCACCGTTGTACCCAACGGATTCGGCCACATCCCAACGTTGGGCCGCCGTTGGCAGGGTGACCGGGCTACTGCATCCGTGGGGTTGGTCGCGGTTGCGCTGCGCCCCCTCTTTCTCTCGAGAGAAGAGTTGCGCTGTGCGACTCTTCTCTCTCTCTTCTCTATCTCTTCTCTCTCTCTTCTCTATCTCTCGAGAGAAGAGTTGCGCTGCGCGACTCTTCTCTCTCTCTTTATCTCTTCTCTATCTCATCTCTCTCTCATCATCTCGAGAGAGAGATGAGAGAGAGAGAGCCGCGGTGCAGTTCTCCAGGAACTGCTGATGGCTTTTTGCACAATGCACAAGGCGGAGTGCTCTGTGCACACGTGTTGCTGTACGCGTGTGTGTGTGGCACACGTGTTGCTGTACGCGTGTGTGTGGCACACGTGTTGCTGTACGCGTGTGTGTGTGGCACACGTGTTGCTGTACGCGTGTGTGTGGCACACGAGGGGGTGCCAGGCCAGGTGCGCTTTCACGTGGTGGCCTCAAAGTGCACCTAGCCTGGCACAGGCGCCGTGGCGACGTCACCGTCACTTCATGGCGAATGGAGATTGGTAGTGGGTTTTTTTTGCTTTTGAAATCTCTGCGAGGTGATATCGGATTTTGCCACAATTGTGTGGGGGGGTGCTGGGGGGTGCTGGGGGGGTGCTGGGGGGTGCTGGGGGGTGCTGGGGGGCGGTGGGGGGGTGCTGGGGGGTGCTGGGGGGGTGCTGGGGGGCGGTGGGGGTGCTGGGGGGTGGTGGGGGGTGGTGGGGGGACGGTGGGGGGGTGCTGGGGGGGCGGTTGGGGGGTGCTGAGGGGGTGGTGGAGGGGGGTGCTGGGGGGTGCTGGGGGGTGCTGGGGGCGGTGGGGGGGGCGGTGGGGGGGTGCTGGGGGGGCTGTGGGGGGTGGGGTTGCTGGGGGGGGGTCTCTCTTCGTGTCGCACAGTGAAGTAGTGAATCAGGAACCCTCCATAAAATGATGACAAAATGCGCGGCAATCAAGAGTCTTATTTTGTTGTTTTTTTTCCTTTCACATACACAAGGTGCACCCGGATGAACAAAATGAACAATGCATACAAGCCGTAATTTTGTGTCTTTATGCGTTACACCCCTCCCCGCCCCCCCCTCCCTCTCCGCGCCCCTTCTCGCTCCGTGTCTCTCCTCTCTGAGCGAGTTCGCGGCGTTGCAAACAACACAGACAACAAGAGCACACACACACGCGCGCAGCCCGCTAAATGTACATCCTCTCGATTCTGTTCGCTCAGGAAGAGATGGCGCTCCCCATGTCGCGCCTAAATGATTGTCTGGCCCCGTGAGCGGTTCCCCTTTCTACCGCGTCTCAACTCGACCTCGCCTCCCTTGCCCGTGCCAGGGGGGGGGGGGGGCAGGGGAGGGGAGGAGGGGGGCCTGGACCCCCCCCCGCCCGGGACCCCCCCCTCCTGCTCCTCCTCCCGGCACAGCGCGTGGGGGACTTTCGCTTTGGCAAAACCCAAAAAATTGACAGCTCATAGCACCGTCAGGATTACAGCGTCACAGCCTTACTAATAATAATAACAACAAACGACAACAATAGCAATGATGAGGATGATGAGGTGTGAACGTGACAATACAAGCGACGGGTCTGCTCAGCAATTAAGCCAGCAGTAGATAATACTTTAGTGGTAATGCCATTAAGGGGGGATGGGGGGTAGGAAGTTAATTTATTTGGAGTAGCTGTGTTGAAAATCAAGTCAGGTTGTATCCGCGCTGCTCACGTGAACGTGGGGCGGTGCTCATCTCCGGTCGGCGGTCCCGAGCCGATGGCGGCAATTCCAC